ACCCAGTGCTCAACTGCTGCGCCACCAGGGGAGGCCCAGTTTTCATTTTCTTTGCAAACTCATCAGCAATGTCACCTCAGAGCAAAAGGGGTAAGTCTCTGATTTGGAGTCTGTGGCAAGGAGGAAAGCCAATGTGGGCAAAGCAGAGTACCCAGACGGCTCAGCCGACACAACTGGCTAGAAATATTGATGATGTGTATGAGACTGAGATTGTGACTGGATTGACCCAACACTATGGGGCGGGGGTGTGCACATGTGCACAGTATGTGGTATATGTGTAGCATGCATTTGTGTGTGTGTTCTTTAAGTTGTGTGTGTTGTGCATATAAGTGTCACATAAAATTTGTGTGTATCTGTGTGTATGATATATGTGAACATATTTGCGTGTGTTGTGTCTGAGTTCTGTGTGTTGTATCTGTGAGCTGTGTGTGCTGTATGCATTTCATGTGAGTATGTGTATGTGGTGTGTGCATTTTTGTTTGTTGTGTGCAGAGTGTTTATGAGTTGTGTATGCTCTATGTGTATGTGCTGAGTGCATTTTGTGGAAAGAGCACAGTCAGGGAAGAACACTGCTGTTTGCTTCTGTCAGGGAAGGGCAAGATGCTCTCCAGCAGGACTAACAGCATAGAGTTCAGCTTCGGAGGACTCCTGCTTTACCACAATGCCCCTTCCTCACCCCAAGTGTAATTTACAACAGCTCAGCTTGGTGGCTGCAGCTTGCTCCTGCAGGGGGCGCTCTGCCAGCGGAGTGCCAAGTTAGGGAATGTTAGCACTTGAGTGTCTGTCTGGAGGCTGACCCACGGCTGTCCTGAACTGTATTTGAAAATGGGTGAGTTTCTGCAGATGTGGCCATGTGTGGAAAAAGGTGGGGACCTGATCTCCGTGCCTCTGGCCCTGCCTGCACAGGGAACCAAGGACTCTCTGATAATACAGCAGCAGTGTAGCTTCTCACCTGTGAGAGGGAGGCAGCGTGGTGGAGGGGAAGGGACTGAGTTTGGAGTCAGATCTAATGGAACAGATACAGCAACTTACTAGCTGTGCCGGGTTTGGGGGGGGGGGATTCCACCTGGCCACCTTGGGCCGCCACACCCTTATTTATTTAATTAGGAGCAGTATGTACTTCAAGGGTTGTTGTGAAGATTAACACTCATCCTTATTAATGGACAGGTGCTTAAAAATGGATAGTTCCCTTCTCTCCAACCTTTTACCTTTTTAGATAATTATTTAAACCCTGAAGTCAGTGTGATATTCCTGGTGATTTGACTGATGAGTTGGAGGGGCCTGGTCCCTTTCAGGCTAAATTACAGATCAATGAAGGCAAGTTCTTTGTCCTCTGTGCTGCCATTCTGAGAATGTCCTGCAGCTTGATGTCGGGGTGGAAATAAGTGTTTATTAAAGAACTCTCTCTGGCTTAGAGGCTGCAGCAGAATTCTATGAGATCAAATTCACATCACTTAAAATAATTTGGTTCTTATTTTTGCTTATCGGTTGAATGGAAGCGATAATTTTGCCCTCACTCTCACAGATGTTTTGAATATACATTTTGTGAAAGGATATATAAATGTCAAATAACCAGCCATGCTGGGATGGCAGCCCAAACTTAGGTTCTTAGTGGTACGGGTTAATATTTCCACTCTATGAATTCCTAAATCTTGGCTTAAGGCTGCTCATCTTTTCCACGGTCTCTTTTATCATTTGGTTTTGATTCTCTTTATGCATGAAGGCTAAGTTTACACAGTATATAGATGAAAGGAGAAAGCCTAGGAGAGGCTGGACGCTCAGACTGTGTCAAGGTATTCATGTGCAATGGATGGCTAGACGAGGTTGTTCAGGCAGACCACACTCTTGTTCATAAAGGTCAAGGGTGTGTATGCAGGAAAAGTACCTGGCTGGACATGGGTTCTTTGATGGACCCCAGCATTTTCCAAGTTCTAAATTCTTATGAAGATAACTTAATTCCCTTTGGAGGAAACAGCATGTATCTCAGAAAGGCATGGGATGATAAACTGGAGATTCTTCCTAGGTTAAAAATCAAGGTGAAAATGCAGAATTCACCTATGTGGGAGAGTCTGCTCCCTCTTTCAGAGACAACAAACTATTGGTGTTGTGTGATGGGCTGCTCAGCTAGGGGACTCAGAAGTGTGGGGGTCTCGGCAACCAGGATCCTCCATGGTCAGTGCAATAGTTTAAATGACAGAAAATGAGACCCTAAGTCTGGGTAATAAAGAGGAGAGGAACAGGCAGTGAGATTTGGGTGAAGGAGCAGTAGAGAATTAATGCACATAAGAATTTGAGGAAGAAGAAAGAGGGAAAGATTTCCAAATATAAAGTCTGTGTGGTTACTGATGTCATAGATTTGACGTGACCACAGAAGATTTGGGGGGTGGGGATGAATCTGGCTTTGGGCCTATTGGGTATGAAGTACTCGGGGGACCAGGAGGTAAGTGGAAATAGGAACCTGATGATCTTCAGAAAGATCAGCTTTTGTCAAAACAAAACAAACAGACAATTATAAACCAGAGACATCCTGCAGGGGAGGAGGGAGAGGGATCAGAGGGAGGGAGGGAGGAGCCCAGTGGACTGAGGTGATGGTGCACAGGTGCATTGGGGAAGGAAACTCTATGGGGACTACACCTGAGGGGGTGGGGGGAAGCAAATATTGCTTAAAAATGAACAGTGATATAAAATATATATAAAGAAAAATAAAAGAAAAACAAAAGATCAGCTTTTGTGATAGGAACTAATTCCGCTTGTGGTGGTGCCCTGTCCAGTATCCCTCCCCAAAGGTGGATCTGGGGTTTTCCTAAGGCGTGCTCTGTGAGGTGTCTGCTGTGGCCAACTAGGAAAACGGGATGGGGAGGCAGAAGAGTCACTGATGTTCAGTCTCCACCCCCAGACCTAGCTCTGCAGCTGTCTTTATGTACCCAGCTTGGGAGAGAAGTCAGCTTGGAGGGATTAGGAACCACCTGCACATCCTCAAGACAAACACTTTGATGGGGCAATCTCAGGATACCCCAAGATTTCCACCGAGACTTGGTTCCCCAAACCCACAAATAAATCAGCTCACAACAGATTCTTGGAGAAAATACCCAAGATGCAAACCTTTTTGGTGAATGTTGGTGAAAAGCACTGGGAAGGAGGGTACAACCTGCTCAGCCCCCTTCAATTCCAGGTTCATGAACAGCTTAAGGTCAGCTTGTCTCCCCTAATGATGTTGCCCCCTCCTGGGGAATTCTTACCCTTTGATTTATAGGGTTACTTTTCTATTTATCTGAGAAAATAAAAACACCATTACAGGGAGTATGACATTGAAATCTTGCCCATAAGTAATGGAAATGGTGAAGATTAGCTCTGATATGTTCGCAGCTGTTAAACAAATCAAAAAGGCATTAAATGCAAGTTTAAATTTACTCTGTCAGCTGAGGGAAAGATACAAACTTCAGCCCGTTAAACAGGCCCTTGAACTCGGATTTTAGGTTAATCTGCTGCTTTCTGTGAGATCAGATTGGTCGCACCTGAAACTGTATTCTGGGGTGTGCTCTGTAGGAAGAGGTGAACTTTATTTTTTTAAAGATTTATTTATTTATACATACAAGAACTGGGGTACAGGCTGGAGGTGTGGGGGGTGAGAGGATCCACCAGAGACAGAGTGGGGAACAGAACAGGCACAATGACTGAAATACACTGCTGAGGGGAGCAGCAGGTGAGACAGGAGAAGTCTGCTGTGCCATGTGGGTTGCTCCCTGGCTGACCGGGGATCAAACTCGTGCTCCAGAGGCTGCTATTGCTTCATAGTGTGGTGCTTAACCCCTTGTGCCACCAGGAAGGCCTGGAAGAGGTGAACTTTAAACCTGTTATTTCACTCTAGAATTCCTGCTAATGCATTTGAAAAGAAAGCGTCTATGCTTGGGGGAAGTGGTAGTGTCTAGGAAGACTGGTATAGTCAGACCGAAATGGTTCTATAATTGTGCTGCAAGAAAGGTCTGGACAGAAACAGCCTGGCGGCTCCACAGATCGGGTTCTCGGGAGCTGCTGGATCTGGGGGCTCAGGTGTGTACCCCGCCATCATTTGTACTTTGCCCCTGAACCCATGAGATGAGCCCTCTGGTTTCATACAATCTTCTGCAAACCAAAGGGCTGAATCTGGCTGACCTCTTCAGATTGTTGCAAATGTTGTATTAGATCAGTAAACCAAAAATGCCCATTGTTGCTGGTATTTTATCAAAGTATAATATATCCACCCTTATGGGAAAAATACTGAACTGTGGGTTTCAACTATTCTTATTTGGGATAAAATAGGCAAATCTCAGGAGGTCAATGGCACTTGTGACCAAAGAAAAGGATATATAAACATTTGTTCTGTAGCTTCAAATGGCCACCAAAGGATAACCCAATGGGGGCACCTCCCTGGTGGCACAAGGGGTTAAGCACAGCACTGTGAAGCTATCCGCAGACACTGCAGCGCAAGTTTTATCCTTAGCCAGGGAGGTGACACACATGGTGCAGCAGACCTCTCCTGTCTGGCCTGCTGTTCCCCTCAGCAGTGTATTTCAGTAGATCTGCCTGTTCTGTTCCCCACTCTGTCTCTGGTGAATCTTCTTACCCTCTCCCGCACCTCTGGCCTGTTCTCCAATTCTTGTATGTATAAATAAATAAGTCTTTAAAAAAAAAAAGATAACCCAAGGAATTGTGTTGCTACGAGACATTCAGTTTAATGTGAAATATATACCCATTTCCTACAAAAAGAAAAAGGCTCTGGATGTCACTCCAGACCAGCATCCCAATGCGCGAGAACAGCCATGTTTGTGAACGTGGGGATGCGCCCGACTCATTCACTCCTGCGTCCACATCTGCTGGGAACATAGCTCAATGCCATGCTCTGTCACTGGCAATGAACCAAGACAGACTTTTTTGGTCCCTTTCCTTTAACCACTCTGCTCTCCCAGACTTTTCTGAGAAATGAAAAAAGAAGCAAAAGGGTGGACACCAGGTATACATACCTGACACAAAAGTATAAAACCACCGGGCCCGACTTCTTGGGGAAGTCATGTTCCAATACTCTTCGGTCTAGCTGGAGCCAGTTCAAGTGTCCCCTGAGAAAAGAGGGACAAGTTGGTTAGGGGTTTGGATTTTGCAGATGTTTCTTGCAACAAATGCGTGTATGTATCTCAGAATGTGCTAGATCACAGATGTGGGTTTTTGCTCACCATTAAATTTCTAATATTTGAAGAATCCAAAGGAATTATCTGAGGAATAGAGCCTCATCAGGAAGAGACTTAGTAGGTGAACTGAGGAGAATGATAATCAGAAAGTCAGGGGTTTGAGACCTGCTCTGCATTTCCTAGAGTACACTAAAATGAAAAAGCACTCTATTCCCTTTCTTGTTCTCTCCAGCATACTCTTTGCTGCCTTTTGCCCTGAAGGACTCAAAACACATTTAGAAACATGTTTGCAATCACAACATTTGCTGGAAGCAGGTGGAGTGAAAAGTGAATCATACACAATTTCTTGAAAAATCAAACTTACACCTGCCACATGACCCAGTTTTCTACTCTCAGGTATTGACACAAGAAATATAAAAGCCTATGTCCATGCAAACACTTTTACACATAGATATTTAGAGATGCATTAGTTCTAAGAGCCCAAAGCTTGAAAAAACCCAAATGTTTATCAACAGGAGGATGGATAAATTATGATATATTGATAGTTACATAATGGAATACTATGCTGCCGTAAAGACAATGAGCAATGGACATACACAGCAACGTGGACGGATCTCAAAATAATTATGCAGAGTGAAAGAAGCCAGGTATAAATGATTGCATTACATTTAAATAAAATTCTAGAAAGTGCAAACTAATCTACAGTGGCAGAAAACAGACTGGTGGTTGCCTGGGAGGGAGGTAAATGGGGGGGGGGGCGATTATAGAGGGGTGTGAGGAAACTTTAGGGAGTGATAGATGTGTTCATTATTTTAATGGTGGTGTCGGTTTCAGGGGTGTAGACATACGTCAAAACTTATAAAGTTGTATGCTTTAATAGTTGCAGTTTATTGAAAGTCCATTTTACCTCATGAAAACTATTTATGACACAATTTCCCACCACCACACCACATACCAGTCTGGGTGGGAGAACCTCTGGACTCCTAGCACCCTCCTGGGCCACCTCTATTGCTGCTCCTCCCAATCCATGGGGTCTACTCTATGTGCCCTTTCTTTCCCCAATAGACTTTCTACATCAGGAAGAGAGATCTGCTTCATAAGGTGAAAGTATGTATGTGTTTGATTAACAGGACGGTGTTAAGACAAATGGGAGACCTAATTTTCACGGAGTAATACACTATAATCATTCCTTTCCTGCCTTTGAAAATGTTCCACATCTCCTGGGTCTTCTCTTAGTTTTCAGCCTCCAGCTGCAGCCACAGGCATGCTCTCACCAGGACCTTGCTTGGAGAAACACAAGTGTTTCTCCTAATTGGGACAGTCTCCACCCTCTTTATCTGGATGTCACCATTGTTCAAGACTGAGTTCAAGCCTTATTTTTAGTGAAGCCTTCCTCGGTTGCTTAACTCTGGTGTTTATTTCAAATTCCTCCAGAGCTTCTAGCTTGGGTTATCTAAAAGCCCTTGGCATATTCTCAGACAAATCATTATTTTAAAAAATATGACTTATCTCTCCAACTAAGTTGCAAGTTTTCTTTTTTTTTTTACTTTTACCTTTTATACTAAGTATGATTTCTTTTGTTTTCTTTTTAAATTCCTTCCACTAAAGTTTTCAGCAATATAAAGGGATCAGGACTTAGCACTGTGCCTGGCAATTATTAACTGCTCAAAAGTATCTGCTCATTGATTGGATGAATAATGGTGACTGAGTGACAACTTGGAGAGGTCAATGCCACGGAAAGAAAAGATTAATGTTATCCACAGCTCCCCTGGAAAGGAGAGGCCCCCTGTGCAAAAATGTAGGGCCACAGGGGAAGCACCAGTAGCAGTCATGAGGCAGAGAGGAAGAAGGAGAAAGCGGAGACCAGTTTTTCCTAGGGTTTCTATGAGAAAGCAAGGCAAGGCAGGGAAACATCTTGGGGTTGGCTAGTTTGAATAATTCCAGCGCTTTCAGGCACAGCGAGTTGTCTCTAGTTGTTTGGTACCTGGCCCTGGGTTAAGAGCATGGGGAATATTGGCTTGGTAGGTGACAATTAGTACAGGGGTGGTCATAATATGGCCTCTGGAATACAGGGAAGATGTAAACAACTTTGGCTGTTAGTTTGGCACTGTCCTGAATGGATGCCAAACAAATAAAGAATCTAAGAAAACTCACACTAGCAATAATGGCTGTGTAGATTTAAATTGTGATCTGTGCCTTGAAATAATTCTTGATAAAAGTTCTGGGAGTAATACCATTCACATGATCCTCCAAAGAGAAACAGACTGATAGTGCAAGACAGCAGGTGTTTTTTTCTGATCCAGCACTCAAGGGATAAAGAGGGGCCAGGGATTAGGGCATCCCACCTGTGCCCTCAAGATCTATCAAGGGCCAGGCCTGAGACATCCTTACCCCACCTACTGGCACAACATAACTGACCACACAGAGAGCTAGCAATATGACTTGGGTCTCTGGAGGCCATAATTTGCATGGTGACGAACCTCTAAGCGGAGACATCTGCATGAAGAGACACAGAAGTGGGCATCACCTGAAAACCCATCTGTTGGGGGCTGCTCTGTACCCACTGTTCTTCATTCATGTTAATAGACAGGTGGACTCCTTCTCTAGATCATTTCATTCCCCACATTAAACTTTTTTAAAGAATGAATTCTAGTAATGAATTTATTTAACAAATTCCTTTGCTCCCAGTCATATATTGGTCTAGGATTTATCAAGCAATGAGGCCATTAGAAGGTAAGAAAATGATCGTACAGCAGAGAGAATGAGTTGAACAATTAACCTCTGAGATAATTTCCTTTCTCCACTTCCTCTATTTGAACTAAAGCCCAGTTCTGCAAGGCAGACAGGACACACACAGGGTCTGAGCCCTGGGCAGGTGGACTCCATACACCTGGAGTTCCTGGGTCCTCCAGATGGAAGGAAATCTCTCCCTCTATCTAATGTGCCTGTAAAAATCTCTCCCTGAAGGCTGCTAACAAAGAGAAGTCTGAGGCAACCAGTGATTCATCCCTGATGCCATTTATGTGCCCAATATTTGGGCAAAAGCTAAGAGATGGATGAAAAAGTAAAGTAGAAACCCTGGCTCTGAGGCTACTGCTGTCAGCTGCAGTTGAACTAGTTAAAATATTTTCTTCCCCTTGTATTGGGTTCAAAGTCATGATCCCTACACCCTAAAGGATCAAGGATTTTATTATACCTCTGTAACACAACTCAGTCCCCAAATGAAGTCCCTTTCTCAAACTCCCCCCCTCCCCCAAGTTAGGATGGAATGGGGAGCAAAGACGTAAAAGCAGCATTTTCTCTATATGGTTTAACTAAGATATGCCTGCTATATTGGCTTTCATTATACTCATTGATTTTTCATTTGAGAATTCACATCAGTGCGTTTGCCAATAACACTACCAACAATAAAAAAATTGCCCGAGTAGACACTCAGAGTATTTTTGTTCTTGCTTGACTGATAACTATCTTTAAAACTGGGCAAGATAACACTCATTTGGTTTATGGTGGCAGTAGGTCAAACTGTTGGGTCAGTAATAAATATGCAATTGCTTCCGGGCAACAGAAATTGGATGTATTTATTTAACAGATTGCTTTTAGCTTCTACATATAATACAAATAGGTTTTTGGTTCAAGCGTTGGCACCTTTAATAGAGATGACCTTAAGGAGAGCCTTGTTTATAGAGAATTACTGGAAGGAGGCGGTATGTGATATGTCTGTCTGAACTGATAATTTCTTCATCCTCAGGGGAGAATGATACCCTGTGCCTTTTATAGGTTTTTTTTTTCTTAGTAGCTTATTTCATATTGAATGAGTTTCCACAGAAAGCCACAAAAGTATAAAATTCTTCTAGATGATGCTGAATGGAAGGGGTGGGTAGGGAGTTCATCAAATGGAAGGTTTAGTAATTTAGCAACCTTAAATTAGAAATGCATGTGCTCAAGGATACTGACTTAGCTAGAAACACTGAAATAGTGGCCTTTAATAATGTCAGTGTGTGTGAGTGGGGGAGAGGGAGGGGGAGAGGGAGAGGGAGAGAGAGAGAGAGAGAGAGAGAGAGAGAGAGAGAATTGGGGAGAATAGACGACTAAATCATGGTCTATTGGGTCCAACTGAATTTTGCGCATTTTATGGGGGAATTATTTGCTCCACCATGTTCTCTTTTTTTTTTTTTTTTTTTTTTTTTTAAGATTTATTTATTGATTGATTGATACAAGCACTGGGGTGGGAGGGTGAGAGAATTCACCAGAGCCAGAGGGGGGAGCAGAGCAGGCAGAAGGACCGAAGTACACTGCTGAGGGGAGCAGCGGGCGGCAGGAGAGGTCTGTGCGCCATGCGGGACCCTCCTCCGGTGGCCGGGGAGCAGCCGGGGATCGAACCGGCGCCGCAAAGGCTGCGGGCAGCTTCGCAACCCAGCGCTCAACCGCTGCGCCACCGGGGAGGCCCACACCACCATGTTCTCTTAAGGCTGTTCCAAAATTTCTTTTACAATACCTGCTATACTATCTCTTGTTACTTACCTCCTAAATTAAAAAGTTCAAAATTCACTTATTGCCATATATCTGCTGGTTAACAGTGGAGACTACATAAGCACTTAACAGAACTTAACAGAATGAATATTTCAGCTTCAAATATGCCCCAAAGATCAATATTGTTGTCAGTTCTGCCATCTGGTACAGACAAGGCCCCTACCCTAACTAAAACATCTTCATATTCTACGAGAATGCACTCTGTTCACATAGTCCCAGGTTGGAGCCACTCTACTTCCCATGCAAAGTGGGATGGAAAAGTCAGGAGGAAATCTGGACCCCTAACACCTGCTCAGATTTTCCCATTGTTTTCTATTTTTCTTAGCTGTACACAGAAAGTTTCTGGTTAGCACATAGAAGGTACCACTGAGTGGCCACAACACTTGTCAGTCTCGGTTGGT